GGTATCTAGTGATGAGTTTAAGGGTTTATGATTTAGGGTTTCGACTTATGTATCTTAGTTTAAAAATACGATCCAAAAAAACAAACCTAACAATCTATTATTATAACTCATCCTATGAAAATGACCTACAAACCAAATTTATTGGAGTGAATATTTTATTTTGTTATTATTTATTGACAATTGAATATACTATTAGAGTAATACATATGATCCCTTGCTTTAATAAAATACTATCAATGTTAAATTTAATTTCTATAAACTTTGTTTAACAAATACGTAAATTGTAAAGGATGCTTAGCCTTTTTCATGACCCCACATGAATTAATCTTCATTTGCTCAATTAAATGACCTCAAAGAATAATGCTTTCTTGTAACATCTCCTTTGTTGTAGAATCTCACGTCGTGAGATATTACATCCCACGTCGTGAATGTTGTCTATGGCTAAAGGTTACCATTTTAAGTTCTTAATCCATTAAGTCCTTGAACCCATTTCATCTAGAAGATAAAGGGGACTCCTAAGGTCCATAAAAATGTTTCCTTTATGGTCATGCATGCACTGTGCATCATCCAACCTCTTTCTAGGTCAAAAGTGAAGAAATGAGCTTCAATCTTTCATACATGCCTCAAATCAATACCATCTTTCAGATCTGAATAATATCATGGTCTAAGGACTCTTAGAATCCATACAATTGCTAACTTTATGGATTTACTTCACTCAAGCAAGCAATAACATGAATATGACGGACATAATAAGCAATAAAGTTGGAGCCTTTGATACTTACAAAGGTCTAAAAGCAGGAAAAGATGGTGATGATGATGATACTTTGCCCATCCTACCACTAGAGTACTTCTTTCTTCTTCTTCTCTTCTTCTTCAAGCTAAAAATGCACCAAAATCTTCATAAATGGATGAAAGAGGAGATAGGAGGCTAAAAATGGTGAAAGGGAGGCTAGGGTTTCTCTCAAGATGATCTAGACATGATGGAGGTTCATAAAATACCCTAAAAACATAGAACCAACCCTTATATATGTTGAAAACCCTAAAACTTTATAGGCTTAGGATGCACAGTTCTCATGTTGTGAGCCCCTAATGCTCACGTTGTGAGCACAATTAAAATCAACAATTTTATTTAATCGCTTCTCCCTTCGTGAGCTCCAATTGCTCAAGTCGTGAGCTCGGATTTCCCCAAAATCCTTGCTAACTTTGAACAGTCATAACTTCTTAATTTCAAATCCGTTTTCGACGATTTTTATATCCACAGAAAAGTATTGAAGAGATATACAATATCATCTAGCTATCTTGGACTAGAAACTTCTCGAACAAAAATCCGTATTTCATGCAAGAACCCGACCTATGACTTTTTCCTTTCTACCCTTCGATCTAAAACACAATTCAATGGTTAAATCTCTTAACCAACCTTACATCCTTCCACAAAGACTAAAATTTGCCTCCTTAAGGCTCAAAGCCTTACACAATCGAGTTCCGACTCACGACCCAGAAATGGCAGGAAACAGGATGTTACAATATTTGTCATGTTTTTCGTGTTTGTCGTGTTAAGTATGATTAAATATTAATTAAATAAACTAAGGTCCCGTTTGATAGTTCCTGACTTAGAAAGTGCTGACTGAGAAAGATCTGTCTGGGTAAGAAATCATGACTGAGTAAGAAACCATGTTGTTTGATTGCACATCTGAATATGTTGACTGATGGAAAATGACCATTTTACCCTGCTGCTTCATGTAGAAATATTTTTAGAAACGTATATTTATACCAAAATCATAAGTAGATTTAATTAGAACACTATATATATATATATATATATATATATATATATATATATATATATATATATATATAATTAGGGCAACACATATTGGAACCAATGAAAACATGACAACACATCACTTTGGAATAACTACATAAATAATTTCCATACTAAATTGCTTATGAATAAAGAAATGAACACCTGTCACTTCATCATTGGTTCCAACCTATGTTACCCTAATTATTCATTTTCCATTGAACCTACTTATATATATATATATATATATATATATATATATATATATATATATATATATATATATATATATATATATATATATATAGAGAGAGAGAGAGAGAGAGAGAGAGTTAGTTTCAAATGTTTTCAACAAATATTGTGTGCCTAAATGCACTAATGAGAATTCAAGAAATAATAAATAATTAAATAAATCTTTAAAGGGTATTTTGGACCTTTTGTACTTTTAATTAAGGAAATCATTTAATTGAAATCCTACAATTATGAAAATAAAGTAAATATATTTGACCTAATAACCTTATACAACATATCACATACACCTCCTCCAACGACGATCATCTGCATCGAACGATCAATCTGTTTCAACCTAGGGTTTGTGTTCCTCTTTGCGTCCTTTCGCCAATCGAAATAGCTCCTCCCCCTCCACAATCTTTACTTTCTAGCTTCCATTTTTGATGAATCGTTTCAATCAAATCAGGACTTCAGCGACATCAGGTGGGAACGATTTCCAGCAAGGATCGACGGAAGGAAAAGAAAGGTTGGAGGATAGATTGTTCGGAAAAGAGGTGGCGGTGTTGCATCCATGGCCAACAGGTGATCTTCTTCTTCATCTTATTTTGATTTGAATCCATGTAAATTTGGATGTTTGGGTTTTTCTGAAAAAATTTATAATAATGGATGGGATATAACTCATGGTTGTTTGGGGTTGTTTCTTGAATTCAAGAAACTGAATTGGTAAGACTATCACTAATTTTTTTTTGAAGAAATTGAAAAAGCACACCACATGTTTGATAAAATGCATAATTGATATTCTCTTAGTTTTGGCTAACTCAGGTGTGTGTGTGTGTGTTTCAACTGATCAAAATTTTCTTTTTTCCACCATTAACGTATGCGGTTAACAGTGTCTGTCACCTTTGCAGCTACATGTTTCAATGGGTCACATTTTCGTCCATTGATACCTTTGTTAGAAGCCATGCTAAAGGAACTTGGTGCTAGCCTGCATGATATGCTTAATTTGATCACAGGTAATTTCTTGAAACAACATTCTGTCATGGCCTCCATGTGTTCGATAAAATGCCTCAATGAAAAAATAGTTAAAAATCTTTAATGTTTTTACTTCAATTTGTTCCTTATTCTTTTCAGAAGTATATAACTCAATTTAGATTGGGTTGGATGCCATTTTCATAACAATAGGTTGATGCTAGTTCCTTATTCTGTCAGAATTTGCAGTTAAATACATTGAGCATATCGAGAAGAAACACAGGGAACCCGAAGAATGTTAGTTCCTTATTCTGTCAGAATAGGTTGATGCTAGTTCCTTATTTTGTTTGTTAGGTATATTCTTGATAATACAAATTCTTAAAGAATATTCTTGCAGAATAGTTTATTTTGTAAAAATATTATTTGTTGTATTCTGATAGAATTGTAGTTAATTATTTGTATGTTTAATGTGCAGGTTTTACAAGTGTATCACTACAAATTACTTGGCAATGAATTTCTGGTAGAAATGGCTTCAAGAATGGCTTGAAGACCTGATGGGAAAGGGTTGAAGAATGAATTAAAGAATGATCACACTCATTTTTTAAGAATGTTGTTATTTTTTAAGAATTATACTTGTTATTCTTTCAGAATGTTTGTTATTATTCAATGAATCACAATCATACAATGTAATTTTTTGATATATTATTAGTTCAAGAATAGATTTTGTGTATTCTTTCAGAATGTATTTACTAGTTTATGTTTGACATTCTGCCATTCTGACAGAATAAAATCGAAAAATACATTTATTGGTTTATGGTTGACATTCTATCATTCTGACAGAATAAAATCGGATTTTTAAATTTGAATTAATTTAAAATATTTAGATTTTTAAAAAATAAAGGAATTAATCATCCCTAAAAATCCGAAAATTTCCTTTTTTAATATAGGTTAATTGACTAAAATGCCCTTATGCTGAAATTTGTGTGATTATATGGTACATGCTATCCTATTCTACTACCATAGACCCTCAAATCATGACATTTGATTATATTCCATCTGATGATCCAGATCTGTGCATTCTGGCACACAATAGTTAGTAAAAACAAAATAACCTAACCCTATATATATATATATATATATATATATATATATATATATATATATATATATTCAGTAGTTACATGCACAATATAACCACAAAGTTAAAATCTCATGAATTGAACTCACATTTTTTTAACCAAATAAAATAAAAAACCAAATCCCTAAAGCGTATCTAAGGTTCTTCCAATACTTAAGTTGTAGCTGAAAGAGCAAATAAGGTGGCGGTTAACCTATGTGCCTATGAATTGTAGCTGAAAGAGCAAATAAGGTGGCGGTTAACCTATGTGCCTATGTAATTCATATTATATTAATTTTTTGTGATTAGAATACATAGCAACAACATGGTTGGTTTGTTATAGCTTTGACATTTTACCTAGATGGCCATGGATCGATTCTTGCCACAGACGTGATTTTATTTTGCCACATTTATACATCTATCCCACATCGCCTATTGAATCAAACATTTGCTGTTCTCGTCAGTTATATAAAGAGAGACTACTGTATCCATTTTCATCCTCAATCTTTGAGAAGTCCCACAGCGCTTCTGGGATAAAATTTAAGCACTGCTCAGGCCTATATAAAGAGTTTCCTTAAAAATTAAACAACAATGATCATTCTCCTGGGTTGAACCACTCCGAGTTGGTCCTTGGGATGGACTAATAGAGGCTCTGAAAGAGAATGTGAAGGCACAGGGGTAAAGATGGAAATGTATCCCCATTTCCTCAGTCAGCTAGTTTCCCCCTTCTATCTGAATCAGACGTTTCTTACCGAGTTAGATGCCCGAAGTTGGATTATCAAACATGTTTTGTTGACCGAGTCAGCCAAAAACGTCTGACTAAACTCGGTCAGACGTTTATCAAACAAGACCTAATTGTTATTTTATGTTATCTTTGTCGTGTCATGTTGTGTTTGTTGTTTTTTTAATTGGTTCGTTTTCGTGTTAGTTAAAAAAAACACGGCATCATGTCGTGTTTGTGTTACATAAAATCTTGTTGTGTCGTGTCGTGTCAGACAAAAACACTACACGATGATCTGATTTGTCACCCCTATCGAAAACCATGAAATAATCAGCTTTCACTACCTTTCATTATATATATATATATATATATATATATTACAAATATTATACTCATTTCATAGAAAATTACAAACCATGAATTTAAGTATATATTTTGTTAATATTTTTTTAATAATAATAATAATAATAATAATAGTAATAATAATAAATAATTAAAATTTTGAAAAAGAAAAAAAGCCTTTAAATTTTTGTCTAATCAGGAGAGGAGAAAGAACGCAGGGAGTATACCCCTCACATTTAAACCGCACCCAGAATGTGATGTTAGTAAGTTCGGTTCCCGCTTCCTTTCACAAACATCGTAGTTATACCGTCCAGCCTAACAACGTAAAAGTTGATGATTGGATTTCTATATTAACATTAAAATAATGCTTTTAAACATTTACGACCTAAAAAAAAGTGATGGTCCGAAATCCAAATATTCCATACTTTGAAAAAAAAATGAAATGATGGTTCAGAATCCGAATGTCCCATGCTTTGAAATACAAAACGGTTGTTGAGAATGACATATTCCGGACAAAAACATCATTTTAAAAAAATCACAAATAAATTTGTTATTTCGATCAAATCTTTCATTTCTAGTGGTCATTTTTGTGAATACCCATTAAAATTTTAAATCTTCTTCATCTATTTATACAAACAAATTGATAGTTTATCCATTAAATTAAATGAATTAAAAATCTCATAACTCGATAATTGCCACCAAAATAATTTGATGATAGGAATGACACTTTAACGGTCTTATAATACTATAAACACGAACTAGCACTTTCATGAGAAACTGAAAAAGACAGTCACCCACCGTGGGGCTTTGGGGCAAGACAAAGAAATCCATAATCACTTCTTTTTAGGAAAATTAAAGTTATTAAAAAAAAAAAGAAAAAAAAAAGGCAATATTCGTGGATCAAAATTTACCCTTTTCTCTAATATCAATCTCATGTATATCACTACACAATAACAAAGAAAACAATAACCGATTTTTCAAAATGGTAAATCGGTGCAATGATACCTTTTATGTTATATTATTGAATTTGACCGTTAGAATAAGATCAAATTTCATAAAAACTATTTTAGTTTATTATTATTATTTTTTTGGTTTAACCGCATCACAAATATATTTTTCTGATAGAATAAAACATTTGAGATTTTTCATATATCTGATAAACTAAATCAGTGAGATTTTGATTTTTTTAAACAATGTTTATAACTTTTTGTTTCATAAAAAACATTTTAGTTTGGAATTTGTTCACTTTAACCATCTAAACTACTTTTTTTCTACATTAGAAGTTTGTATTTCAAAACAACATTAACCAATAATTCAAGAAAATGACCTAAGTTTGATAAATTAATGAATATATAAATAATTTTTACATTTTAGTATGTTCAACAATGGATATCTCTAGACAATAGAGTAGATTCATAAATACCAAAATTACCCCTTAACTTTCAAGAGGAACAGCAGACTCAAGCCTCACTCTATTTAATCGTACAGTTCCAAGAATGTACTCTGGAAGTTCTGCTTGTTCCTTACCCTGAAATTTATAAACAAAAGATTACGAATCACAAGTTTTCAATATAAAAGGGTAAAATCGTAATTTTGGTGTATGGGAAGCAACCGCTTTTATGACACGAATATTTCCAACGAAAGTTGAAAACTATCATTTTTTTTTTTTTCAAAAAGTACAGATTCTTATTGCTAATAAAATTTGGATCCACAAAACTCATATGTAGTGAAGGGTATTTTAGGTATTTAACAAAAGACCTCTATTAAGATAGCAAGATCAACCACGATGCTTGTCACATATCCAAGAACTATTCCCACGACACTCCTTGCAACCGATGAGGATCCAACATCCACATCAATCTGCAAAAACAAATTTACCAAATTGCCCTTATGCTGTTATGCATAGTCACGTTTCACAGCATAAAAAATGTCATTCGCAGTCAACAAGATTTTCCCAATTCATTGTTAGTAATAGTAAGACCTTTTTGTTTTAACTAATTCTCATCCACAAGATTTACGCTTTTTATCATAAGTGAAGGGTAATTTAGACATTTACCTCCAAAAAATTATCTTGTCTTAGATAGTTGCATGTTACAGCTTTCCCTAATAGACAAGCTTTTGATCCAACTGCACGTTTGACCATCCAATACCCCTGTTAAACAAAATCATCATTCAATATCATATTTTTTTTAAAAAAAAACTAGTCAAAAATGAAAAAAGATAAAAATAAATACATCGACAATGCTTGGAATCAATTTGAATCTTGAATCACGAAAAGTGTTTGTTCCATTAATAAATCTTTCCAGCAAAGAGTCTTTGGCTATTGGCCTATCAGCAGCAAAGTAGAGAACTAAGCTGTAATTCGGTTTCGCTGGCACCTGAAAAGAAAAACCAGGGTTTTCACTATTAGCGAAAAGTCTTAAATGCCCTGAAGGGTGGATAAATAATCTTAGATCGAAAGTGTTTCCAAGGGAGGGCAACATGGTAATTTTACATCATACGAGATGTGTTTATACTTCAGTTAAAGCTTAACTCATACTTGCAAGTTCATGACCAAAACAAATGGAAGTTTTTTCCCGGCATCCGACTGTAACAAGAAAATGGAAACTATATTAGGTTTCGAGTTGTATTTTTACCATTTTACCCTTTTACCCTTTCTATATATGGAAAGATACCTGGACAAGGCATTTAGGATGCAAAGCAACCTTGCCTACTGGATTCTCAACTTTAAACCAATCAACTGCTATGAGTCTCAAAAGGGGATTTCCTCCAGCTACCTGAAATAGATTTAACAAAAATGTGAAATTACATATCTACCCTTAACATGACAAGACTAATGAGATGTAAAGTTTGACCTTAGCATTATTTTGCAAGTATGTCTTTCCTCTTATCATAAACCCTTTCCCATTTGGAGATGTCCAACAATTTGTATCACTCTCACTCTTTCCTTCGGACATGGATCCAGGAAGCTGAATAGGATCAACTGTAATTGGGGATGAAAGTGGATCTAATTCACCATCAGCACATGGATCTGATCAAATTAAAGGAAACGATTATATTATTATATATAAGTAGGCGTAATCTATAGATTTTCTATTAGTTAGAGACCATTTTTGTAATTT